TTCACCTTCCCACAGCCGGGCACCTCGACGCCGTCCACGGGCCGGGGGATCTCGATGGACTTGACGGTGCCTGACCCCATTCCCGGTGTCCCTGACCCCATTCCCAGTGTCCCTGACGTGTCCCTGACCCCAAATCTCACCTTCCCACAGCCTGGCACCTCGACGCCGTCCACGGGCCGGGGGATCTCGATGGACTTGACGGTGCCGTACTTGCCGCACTCGTCGCGCACGTCCTCGACGATCTCCTCGTACTCCTCGTCGTCGAGCAGCTCCTCGGGCAGCACCATGTTGAGCAGGCACAGCACCTCGGTGGGGTGGCCGCCCATCTGCACCTGGGAGCTCATCAGCCCCGGCACCTGCAGCGTCACCGGGGTCTGGTTTATGGTGCTCTGGGGGGGGGAGGGACGGGGTTAAAACGGGGGTTAAAGGGGGGCGATGACCCGCTGGGGGAGGGGGAGGTGAGAGACACCCCACCCCCGACCCCCAACCTGGGGGTCCCACTGAGAGCCCACAGGGACATCCAGAGACCCCATTTGGACCCCCAGACCCCATACGACCCCCAGACCCCATATGGACCCCCAGACCCCCATTTGGACCCCCAGACCCCATACGGACCCCCAAACACCATATGGACCCCCAGACCCCATCGACTGGATCCCCCTTTAGACCCCATACACGGACCCCACTATGGACTCCCAGACCCCATTTGGACCCCCAGACCCCATTCGGACCCCCAAACCCCATATGGACCCCCAGACACCATATGGACCCCCAGACCCTAATAGAACCCACAGGGACCCCCAGACCCCATATGGACCCCCAAACACCATATGGACCCCAGACCCCATATAGAACCCACAGGACCCCCAGATCCCCATATGGACCCCTAGACCCATATGGACCCCCAGACCCCATATGGACCCCCAGACCCCCAGACCCCTAATAGAACCCACAGGGACCCCAGAACCCATATGGGACTCCCCAGACCCCCCAACAAAGCCCACAGGGACCCCAGAGCCCCCAAAAGATCCAAGTGCTCCCCCAACCCCCCAGCACTCCCCCAGATGTCCTGGAGACCCCCCCAACACCCTCTTTAAGGGACCCTCTCCCACGACCCCCCCAAAACCAGACCCAACCCCCTGCAGGTACCCAGGACCCCCTAATCCCCCAAATCCCATCCCTGACACCCCCAATCCTCTTCAGGTGTCTGAGACCCCCAGAGCCCCCTGACCCCAAAACGGAACCCCCAACCCTCCCCTGCCCCACCCAGACCGAGCACGGGGTGTCCCAGCCCCCAATCCCCTCCTCAGAGACCCCTCAGAGCCCCCCAGCCCTGCCCAGCCCAGGGAGGACCCTGAACCCCCCAGGGACCCCCAGGTTTGGGGAGCCCCCACTCACCAGGGTGGCGTTTTGGCCCCCACGCCGCCCTCTGCACCAGCAGCTTCTTGTCCCCAACTGCATCCCGCTTGAGCCCCGCGATGGCCTGGGGGACGGGGGTCAGGGGGCTGGGGCTCAGGGAACCCGGGCTGGGGCTCAGGGACCCCGGGCTGGGGGCTCAGGGAACCCCTCCCCACTGCCTGAGGAGGGCCCAAACATCCCTGAACACGGGGAGGGACCTCCCAGAGGGGAATTCGGGGGGGGTGGGAACTGGGGGGACATTTGGAGCCTTTTTGAGGATTCCCAGAGGGGTTTTGGGGGTCCCAGGGTGGGTTTTGGGGGTTACAAGGGCAGTTTTGAGGTGGGTACCTGGTCGGTGACATTGTGGGGGGAAGGTTTTGGGGGTTCCCAGGATAGTTTTTGGGGTCCCCAAGGTGGTTTTTGGGGTCCCCAGGTGTTTTTGGGGTTCCTACCTGGTCGGTGACGTTGAGAAGGGGATCCCAGGGTGGTTTTTGGGGTCCCTACCTGGTTGGTGACGTTGATGGGGGGATCCCAGGGTGGTTTTTGGGGTCCCCAGGGGTTTTTGGGGGTCCCTACCTGGTCGGTGACGTTGAGGGGGAGATCCCAGGGCAGTTTTTGGGGTCCCCAGGGTGGTTTTTAGGTGGCTACCTGGTTGGTGATGTTGAGGGGGGGGATCCCAGGGTGGTTTCTGGGGATCCCAGGGCGGTTTTTGGGGTCCCCAGGGTAGTTTTTGGGGTCCCTACCTGGTCGGTGACGTTGAGGGGGGGTTCCCAGGGCAGTTTTTGGGGTCCCCAGGGTGGTTTTGGGGTCCCTACCTGGTCGGTGACACTGAGGGGGGGTTCCCAGTGCAGTTTTTGGGGTCCCCAGAGCGGTTTTGGGGTCCCTACCTGGTCGGTGACGTTGAGGGGGGGATCCCAGAGTGGTTTTGGGGTCCCTCCCTGGTCGGTGATGTTGAGGGGGGAATCCCAGGGCAGTTTTTGGGGTCCCCAGGGCAGTTTTTGGGTCCCTACCTGGTCGGTGACGTTGATGTCGACGTACTCGCAGAAGGCGTAGCCCTTGGACAGCCCGGTGGCGCTGTCCTTCACCAGGTTAAAAGCCTTCAGGGGCCCGAAGGACGTCAGCAGCTCCTTCACCTGGGGGGGGGACATCGGGGGGGCTCAGGGGACCCCCTCAGGGGATGGGGGAACCCCCCCAGAATGGGGGATCCCACCCCAAAAACCCCTTCAACCTTCATCCCCCGATCCACGGGAAAGCTCAGCCTGGGGGATTTTTGGAGTGTCCCCACCCCCCCTCGGAGTTCAGGGGGGCCCTGGAGGTCCTTGTGAACCCCCCAAAAAAACACCCCAACCCCTCCTCTCTCTCCATGGAATCTCAGCCTGGGGGAGGATTTTGGGGTCCCCCCAAACCCCCCCTCCCCAATTTGGCCGTGACCCTGCCCCCAGGGTTTGGGGGGGGTTTGGGGGGTCCCCAGGGGGGCTCTGGGTGCCCCCCCCTCACCTGGTCGTCGTTCAGGTAGTTGGGGAGGCCCCCAATGAAGAGTTTGTGAGCAGAGTCCGGGACCACCGTGGACACCACGCCTGGGGGCACAGAGGAGGTTGGGGGCCAAAACCCCAGGAGGGACCCCAAACCCCCAAAACCCGAGGAGTGCCCCAAGCCCTCCCAGGGTCCCAACCCCCCACGAACCCAAGAACCCACAGGGGTTGTTATTGGGGTGGGGGGTTCCTGATCTTTGTGCCCCCCCAAAAACGATTTTGGGGTCCCTCCAGGTTTTGGGGTGTCCCCTGGCTGGGAGTGGGACACAAGAATCACCCCCACAAATGGGGGAACCCTTCAGGTCTCCCAACTCCCCACAGGGACCCCCAAACCCCCCAGAGCCCCAGGGTCGGGTCACTCCCGGTGTTTCCCTCGGTGTTTTTGGGCCCTCTGTGTTTTTGGGGTCCCCCCCGGGGTTTTTGGGGTCCCCCCAGTTATGAGGAGACACCAGAGTCACCCCAATAAAGTGGGGACCCTTTGGTATCCCCAAACACCCCCAGAGCCCCAGGGTGGGGGGGGGTCCCTGCTCCCGGTGTTTCCCCCCGGGGTTTTTGGGGTCTCCTCTGTGTTTCTGGGATCCCCCCCTGGGTTTTTGGGGTCCCCCTAGTTATGAGGAGACACCAGAGTCACCCCAATAAACTGGGGAACCCTTTGGGACCCCCCCAAACTCCCCAGGGTTGGGGGGTCCCTGCTCCCGGTGTTTCCCCCCCTGTGGTTTTTGGGGTCCCCCCTGTGTTTTTGGGGTCCCCCCTGTGTTTTTGGGGCCCCCCTCACCGGGCACGTAGACCGAGGGGTTCTCGGACATGCCGGGCAGGGGTTGGTAGTCGTGGGGGCGCCGGATCTTCAGCGACTGCCCCTGGAAGATGATCCCGTCGAACGCCATGGCCTGGGTGGTCTCGTCCACGGAGCGGAACTGGGGGGGCACGGGGGGTGAGAGACCCCAAAAACACAACTGGGCAGCACGGGGGTGAGAGACCCCAAAAAAACCAACTGGGGGGGGAGAGACCCCAAAAACACAACTGGGGGGGTAGAGACTCCCCCCCAAACCAAATACAGGGGGTTTGAGACCCCCCAGAACCAAATACAGGGGGTTTGAGACCCCACCCCCCCACCCAAACCAGAACTGGGGGTGTCACAGGGACCCCCCCTGGGGGAATTTTGGGGGGTTCAGTGGTTGGGGGGTGGATTTTGGGGGGGTTTGGGGCAGTTCAGGGGTCGGGGAGGTTGTTTTGGGGGGTGGATTTAGGGGGTTTGGCAGTTTATGGTCAGGGTGGGTTATTTGGGGATGGATTTTTGGGGATGGATTTTGGGGATGGATTTTGGGGATGGATTTTGGGGCAGTTCAGGGGTCGGGGGTTGTTTGGGGGTGGATTTTGGGGATGGATTTTGGGGTGGATTTTGGGGATGGATTCGGGGATGGAGTTGTTTTGGGGTGGATTTTGGGGGTGGATTTTTGGGGATGGATTTTGGGGGTGGATTTCAGGGGTGGATTTCTTGGGGGTGGATTTTGGGAGTGGATTTTGGGAGGTTTGGGGCAGTTCAGGGGTCAGGGGGTTGTTTGGGGGGTTTGGGGGCCGGATTCGGGGCCGTGTCCCACTCCAACCCCGAAACTCCCGATTCCTCCAGGACCCCCTAAACCCCCCCCCCAAGGCCCCCCAGACCTCGAGGAAGGCGAAGTTCTTGTCCTGGTTGATCTGCACGGCCAGGACGGGGTTCCCGGGGGCCTGGGTGAGGCCCCCCAGGCGCATTTGGGCGTTGAAGAAATCCATCATCGCCTCCTGGGGGCAAGCGAGCGTCAGAGGGAGGATCACCCCAAACCCATGGGGAGGGGGCAAGGGTAGGAAAAAGAGAAAGAAAAACAGGAATAGAAAGGAAAACAAGCAAAAGAAGAAATAAAGAAAAGAAAAAAAAAGAATAAAAGAAGGAAAAAAATAAAAGTACAAAAAAAAGGAAAAATAAAAAATAAAGGAGTAAAGAAAAAAAGGAAAGTAAATAAAAAGCAAAAACAAAGAAAATAAGTGAGAAAAAGAAATTAAAAGGAAGACAGACACAAAAAGGATAAAAAAAAAAGCTGCAAAAAAATGCAATAAAAAAGAGAAAAGCAGACAAAAAAGTGGAAGGAAAAAGAAAATGCAAAACCAGTAAAAAACCCAAATAACCCTCCCCAGAGCCCCCCAGAGCTCGGTGATGCCAACGGGGATGTTGCCCACGTGGAGCCCCCTCAGCTCCCCAAAACCCCCCAAAAAAACCCCAAAACCCCCATAATAACCCCTTACTAACCCCCCAAAACCCCCCCCAGAGCCCCCCAGACCTCAGTGATGCTGAAGGGATGCTGCCCACGTAGACCCCCCCTCAGCTCCCCAAAACCCCCAAAACCCCTATAATACCTCCCCCAAAGCCCCCAGAGCCCCCCAGACCTCGGTGATGCCGAAGGATGTTGCCCACGTAGAGCCCCCTCAGCTCCCCAAAACCCCCAAAAAACCCCCAGAGCCCCCCAGAGCCCCCAGACCTCGGTGATGCCGAGAGGATGTTGCCTACATAGACCCCTCTCAGCTCCCCCAAAACCCCCCAAAACTCCCCCAAAACCCCCCCAGAGCTCCCCCCAGACCTCGGTGATGCCGAAGGGATGTTGCCCACGTAGAGCCTCCTCAGCTCTTAAAACTCCCCTAAAACCCCCATAATAACCCCCTCAGCGGTCCCACAAACGCCCCCAGAGCCCCCCCAGACCTCGGTGATGCCGAAGGGGATGTTGCCCACGTAGAGCCTCCTGGCCTGCCGGGTCATCTGGCTGCCCACCACGGGCACGGGGCGTGGGGGTCACGGCCAGCCTGTCGGGGGTCATGGTGGGCAGCAGGGCCGTGGCCGGGATCTGACCCCGCGGCTGGGGGCACAGGGGGTTTAGAGGGGTTTGGGGGTCCTAGGGGTGTTTGGGGGTGCAGTGGGCAGCAGGGCCGTGGCCGGGATCTGACCCTCGCGGCTGGGGGGCACAGGGGGTGGATT